TAAAGAGTTGAGAGACAGGACATGAACAGACATGCACACCCATGTTCATTGCGACACAATTCACTATAGCAGAGAGATGGAAAGAACTAAATCTGTGAACAGATGAATGGATGACCAAATTATGGTACATTCATACAATTGAATACTCCAAAAAGAAAACCAAACCCTCTGCCATAGAGTTGGTTCCAACTCATAGTGACCCCTCCTTTGGTTTCTGAGACATTATCTCTAGGAAGTAGATTGTCTAGCCTTCCTTCTGAGGGATGGCTGGTGGGTTTGACCGCCAACCTTATGGTTAGCAGTCAAATGCCTTAGGCACTACTGTCAGAGCTCCCAATGTGATAATATGCTACATTAAAGAATAATGAAGAATATATGAATCATCTCACAATGTGTATGAATCTAGAGGACATTATACTGAGTAAAATAAGTTAATCACAGAAAGACAAACATTGTATGAGCCCGTTATCGTAAAAAGTTAAGGAAGTGTTTGCTTAGGGTAAGGAACTCATTTTGTAGGTTACCAGGGATGAGAGGGGAGGTGAGTGGAAATTTCAGACTAGCTGGGGACCACATGCTGATCGGGTAAGGGAAGGGATGGTATGGAAAGAGTCTGTGACCAGCATGATAACATTGGGGAAAGGGAGGACACTGAAACATCCACACAAGGTATAGACAACAGAGGCGAATACTAGTATATGCACAATACTGCATTATCACTAACACCAAACACCAGGCTACAGATAAATTCATAGACAACTGAGAAGATCAGATGGTTCTTGGTGAACAGGAATGTACCCAAGACCAATGATAAATTTAGCTGAAGATAATATTGTATAGATACTAGAGATGCAAAATTATTACAGAAGCAACAGAAGACAGACTTGGAGTAATCCCCTAGAGACAGCCAAGCACCTTTGGAGAGAGAACTACCAGGCCTGCCGACTCAGGACCATAGTATTGGGGGACACCAGGATCAATTGGCACAACATAGTACATAAAATCTTGTTCTACAACCCACTTTGGTGAGTAGTGACTGGGGTCTTAAAGGTTTTTGAGTGGCCACTCCTCAGAAGGAAGATTAGGCAACCTACTTCTGTAGTGACACTGTCCTTGGAAACCTAAGGAGGGGACACTATGTTTCAGATCCAACTTGACAGCAGTGAGGTTTTTTTTTTTTTTTTTTTTTTTTATCTAAGATGCAGCTAATGGTCTCCTTTCATATGAAGTGAATAAGAGTGAAGAAGAGTAAAGGCATTTGGAAACATTTAGTCCAAGAATATGATGGGCTTCAAGATCAGAAGAACTATATGGTGCTGACTACCAATGCCAACCACCAGGATCAAAAACTGGATCAAAACTGGAGATCATGGATAGAGTGGGAGGAAAAATGTGGGAAAAAACTAAAAAATACAATAATGACCAGAACTACTGGTCAGATGGAGTCTAGTGGGGTCCCCAAGACTATGGCCCCGGGATACCCTTCAGGCCTGGGATAGGACTTACTTCCAAGGACTGACCCAGAGCCCAACAGTAGAAGACTTATATGCAGAACACTCAACTCAGAGTGATGCAGCCACCTACTCTATGGAGATACACCCATTGGAGCAATAGGACATGGGGTACCAGAGCAGCAGCATCCACATGGAGGGAAAGCTGGACAAACCAGAGTGCATATTTAAGAAGGGCAGGGCGGCATCACAGGGAAGGGAGGGGAAGAGAGTGGGCTAGGGTTGGAGATGGTAATTGGGGCATGAAATCAAATGTATGGGAACTGTTGAATGTAAAACAAATTTTGCTCTCTAAATTTGCACCCAAAGCACAATTTAAAAAAAAAAAAATTACAGCCTTGGCGACCCAATAGGGTACTTCTGCTCTGTTGACAGGGTCTTTATGAGTAGGAATCAACATTATGGTAAGAAATTTACCTTTTGGTGGTGGTGGTACGTGTGTGTGTGTGTGTGTGTGTGGCAATTAGTAAGGGCTGGGAGTGGATGCCAAATGTCAAATCACCTAGGAGTACCTAATAAATAGGAAATAGGAAAACGAAAAAGGATGACTTCAAAATGTCCAATAGATAAACAAAACAAAATATTTAAAAAGAGGTTAACAGTAATGTGACAGAGGAGGTGGGATGAGGAGATAGAGAAGGGGAAAGGAAGGTGTGGCACTACCTTCAGTGAGCAGACAGGTGCCCCATACACACATCACCACAACCTCTGCCACTGCCAAGAGGCAAGGGAAACAGTAAAGCACTTAGAACAGTGCACAACACTGAGGTGTTCAATGAGCATTAACCATTCATTCATTCATATAATAAACACTGAAACTGAACTGTGCCCTGAAGGAAAGGAATGACCACAATAATAAGATAAAATTGCTACTATTACTACCACTACATATAACACTAGCCACAACTCTGGTTGCCAGGGGTCTAACAGTAATACAAAAAAAGAAAAAAAAAAATCATTGGCTTTGTGAAGTCTGAGTCTTAATGATGGCAAACAAACCATAAACCTGATGAATACGTAAATTTATGTAAGATGTTGGAAGGAGAAATGCTCTGGAGAAAAGAGGAGAGACTAAGGGGATTGGGAAGGCTGTGGGGCAGCTTTTCAAGTTTTAAACGGAGTGCCCAGTAGGGTAGGCCCAGTGAGAAGGTGACTTGTTGAAGGCAGAAGGCGAGGGAGTGAGCCTTGTGGCTATCTGACGGAAGAGTGTTCAGCCAGTGAAAACCCTTTGCCTCACAATAGTAAGATGTGCCACCATCATGGGGATGGTGTGGGACCAGACAGTATCTTGTTCAGTGGTGCATGGTGTTGCCATTTGTCAAGGGCTGACTCTGGGGCAGTGAAAAACAATTCTTGTTTTGGCCATCACCTTTCTTCCAGGTTTGTTTCAGGTTCATCTTTCCAGTCTGCCCCACATCTTTCCAGCTTGGCTTCCCCAGTTACACTAAATGCCTGTTCTCCTTTTTACCTAGGCTCCCTTTGGGGTTCCTGGGTGGTACACTCAGTTAAGTTCTTGGCTATTAACTGAAGGGTTGAAGATTCAAATCTACCCAGAGGCACCTTGGAAGAACGGACTGGAGATCTCCTTCTGAAAGATCACAGTCGCTGAAAACCCTGTGGGGTCCGCTTCTGCTCTGACACCATGGGGTCGCCGTGAGTCAGAACCAACTCGAGGGCAACTGTATTCTTTTTTTTGGCCTTAGATTACTATTCGCAGTTCAGCAAGCAGGGAAGCTTTCTATCTGTTAGATGTTTTATTAAAGAGGAAATTATAATTTTTTTCTGGATATAATTATTGTTAAAAAAAAAAAAAAAACCAAGACATTAGATGAATAAGTGGGAAGGAAAATTGCTGATTAAATCATTTAGTGCTTATCCTCTGCCCACCATTAAGAATATTGTAGATACTGCCAGACTCTTTTCTGTGCTTATGTATTTTATACACACACACACACATACATACACACACTTTTTTTTTTTTTTAACTTTATCTGGATGTTTAGTACTGAATACTAGGCTAGGTAAACATTTGTTGTTTTAATGATAAAACATTTTTGTTAGAGTTATTAAATAATTGGAATTGTTGTTATGTGCTATCGAGTCAGACCCGACTCATAGCGACCCCCTCCTTGGGTTTCCGAGGCAGTATCACTATGGAAGTAGATTGCCCAACCTTCCTTCCGAGGAGTGGCTGGTGGGTTTGAACCGCCAGCCTTCTGGTTAGCAGTGAAGTGCCTTAGGCACTATGCTACCAGAGCTCCTAATGATTGGAATATAAATCTTAAATAAGTGGCAATTGAGTCTGTTAATGTGATTAGCGACTACAAAGCAAGACCTTCCAGAAAATGTTGAAGTTTAGTCTAAACTAATTCTAACGTGTAGCTTTAAGCATATTTCAGAAGTTCTTCACAAATAAAAAAAATAAAGAAGCCGAATTTAACTACCTGAGCCTCAGAACAAGACTCTTCTGTAAGACTGCTGTGGGAGGTTTCCTTGGCCCTCTCAATGTAGTTACTGTCTAATGATATGTTAGTCCTAAAATAGTTTGGTTTGGCTTTTGCTTTGTTCGGAAGCTTTGCATGAGTGTGTCTTTGGAAGGAGACATTTAGATGTAGGAGCTTATCTTTTTAAGGCTGAGTATCTAGATCTCCACAAAGACTGGAGCTTATAACCACGGGCTCTTTGGGTGTCAGTTAACAGATACATTAGGGTAGGTAGGTTATGAATCTAGTGATGGGAGATGGCATTTATCCAGGCAATTCTGGAATCCTTATGATATGAAAAACTAATGCTTCTTTCATATACCAATAATCTGCAATTGCCAATATGAGCAGCGTTGCGTGATAAACAAAAGGGAAAAGATTTTTTTCCAAATAATTTCTCATATGTAAAATCCAAATGGAAGCCTGGTATTGACAGCATATGAGGCTAACATCCTCTCCAATAATAAGTTCCAATAAGACTATGAAAATTTAATGGCAATTATTATTGGTTGAGTGAAGCAGGAAGGGGTCAGGATAGTTCAACAGGGATGAGACATACCCCACAAGTAGAAAAATGAATAAGCAATTAATAATCATTACGTTAACCAACACAGGAATATTAAGGGTGAAAGAAATTCCCTAGTATTTCTTTCCAAGAATTCGCTCACTGTATGTGTATGTCCCTTGTATGCTGCAGTTAATGAATTTAAATCTCTATAACATTCTTAATACTAACTCTGGTATTTCTTGTTTGGTTTTGTTTCACACTAAAATCATTGTTTCAGTGAGATGAACACTTTTTATTAAATTGAAAGGAAGAGAGAAAAAGATTTTTTATGCAGAAACATATGCATCAGAAAGTGAAAATCAGAAGTAGAACAAAACCTTGTAGACAGTAATAATCCAGGGTAAGACAAAACTCTGCGGTCACACTGTAATTTTCTCCTAACTCATTAAAAACATATTTTTGTGACATAAGCTCAAAATCATAAAGAAATATAATTACCTTTATTCTTTTTTTTCTGCATTTCAGTCACAAAAATTTCTTTTACTTTTTGGTATAAAGACTCTTTATCTATGTCAGCATTGACTTTTATCAAAATATTTTCCGGCTCTGAAAACCATTGCTCCAAGAAGGGCCAGTTGTCCAAGAAGCCTATGATTCTGTAAAATCAAAATATGTATTATATGAGTATCACATATGACTGAAACATTGGAATGACATTAACCCATTAACCATGGTTCATGTGCACAACTAAACAGGAGATTGTCAAAATAGCTGAATTTAACAAAGCAACTTTAGGAAACCTATAGGCAATGAGTTATCACTCACTTTAAATTCAAGAAGAAATATTTAATGCCATCAACACACAATCTTTTGAGAAATATGAGAGTAAAAGAATATATAAAGATACCACAATTTCAGGAAAACATTAATGTAAGGTGAGTTTCTTTAAGAGAAGATCTAAGCAAACATGATGGAGTGACGCCACCAGTGCTCACAGTAAAATAACTCTGAGAGATCTCCTGATGGGTAACTGCAGCCTTATCTGCCATCTATCATCCACTTTTTCTTCTTAAGGTAGAAATTGAAAAGATCTTTGAGTAAGAATATATGGCTCAGACTTACTATGTTTATTCAAAAGTATTGTTGGAATGATTCTTGAACCTTTTTTTTTTTTTTTAATTCCTTGAGAGTAGGCAGCCTAAACACAGCTCAAATGATTCTTCCCTTGCTCACTTCATATTTTTAGACTTCTCCTCATGGTTCATGAAATTGTCTAATTTTGTCTAAATCTTCTTATCCATTGGGTGAATAGCATACATACAAGAACATGAATTAAACTTCATTGTAACAAAATAGAAATGGTTTTAGAACTAACTAAGCCTTGCAGTCTGATACTTGTTGTTATTGTGTGCAGTCAAGTTGATTCCAACTTATGGTGACCCTATACAACACAGTAGACATCCCCATAGGATTTTCTAGGCTGTATTTTTTATAGGAGCAGATGGCCAGGTGTTTTTCTCATGGAGCCAGTGTGGGTTTGAACTGCTGACATTTCTATTAGCAGCTGTTCTTAACAATTGCACCACCAGGGCTCCTAGTCTATGTATAAATCCATTCCCACTGAGTTGATTCTGACTCATAGTGACTAGAGCTGAATTGATTTGTAGGGTTTGCAAGGCTATGATCTTTACAGAAGCAAGTCGCCAAATCTTTCTCCAGTGGAGCAGCTGGTGGGTTTGAAATATTGACCTTTTTGGTTAGCAGCTGAGTGCTTAACCACTTTGGAATCCCATGGTCCTCACTTATAATTATTTTGTTAAATAAGAATTACGTAAGAATTTGTAAGTTAATGCAACCATGAATAGCAGTTTGCTTGATGATTTAATTTCCCCCTCCACTGCATAATGACTTGTTCTCTGAATCCAAGTTAGCACATAAATATTTCACTTGATATCAAAACTCAGTAGTTTTGTTTTACCTGTAAAAGAAGACTGCTAGGAAATATGTCTCTTTTTTTTCTAGTTCTGATGATTTCTAAGTGACTAATAGTCAGTCTGTTCAAAGGACAAGAAACAAGAAGCAGACATTTAGATTCCAACTAACCTGTGTTGTATCTGGTCTTTTAAAATCTGGTTCTCATCTTGATCTTTGTTTTCAGCTGCTACATGTAGACTGATGTCTTCAGGAGAAGTTTTACATAAAAATGCTTCAGCTAAGGTATGAAAATTACTTAATCAGATAATTTGTTAAACCAGTCAAAGTCACTAATAACTGCCAAAATGTGCTGTTGCAAGAATGCCACAAAGTCCTATCTTTGATCCAATATTATTTAAAACTTTTAACAACATGGTGAAAGAGTATACTTTTGGGATCAGAATTCAAACTTTCCTTGACAATTGTGGAAAGCATGGTCTAATGCAACATTATTCAGAAGCTGTAGTTTCAGTGCAGAGGATCCTAGGATTGGTTATGAACAGATGAGAATGAAAACTCATGGGTCATCAGGAATACCAAGCTTGGAAAAAATTAGCAAAATCAACAGTGTTGTAAAAAATAAAGAATGAATTAACAGGGCAGCCCTAATGTAAAATAACCATAGTTAATAGTTAATTGCCATAAAATACAATAACTTACTTTTGTTTCCAGCTTTTATGGTCTCTTCATACAATACACATAAAGGAGTTGAATACAAGAGCACAAAGACAAAAAAACAAAAAACAAAACAAAACAAAAAAACAATCTCAGTGGCTCTGACTGGGTCTTATTCTGGATTAATGGTACAAAGTTCAGAAAATTATGAACTTAGAATAAATGGAAAATCAGAAGATGGCAGACTAGGCAGAAAGACTGCACAGACCCTCTTCAACAAAGGAAAGGGAAACCAATTAACACAGACACAGAAGATGATCCTGGACCCTTGTGCCTTGAAGGGAAGGATATAGAAGTGGACTAAACCCCAATTAGCAGAGGAATTTGTGTGAAAATACCAAAAAGGGGGACAGATGGAGCAGTGGTCTGGCAGCGATCTTGTACAATCCTGATGGCACACCAGCTTGGAGATTCCCGAGTGGTGGTAGGACCTAAGAATTAACCAAAAAATCAGCCCTGCTAGGCAGGGACTGCATGGAGGACTGTGCATGGTGGCTGGGGAATAAACGGAGAACGTGAAGAGAAAGGTGGGCTGAGCTGTGGACTTTTGCCAGTCTGGAGATGCTGCCATTTTGAAGCTTTAAAAGCGGCTTGACTATTTTGGATATTTAAAGAGACAGCACTCTAGCAGATTCCTGGGGCTTAAGAACATGTTCTGCTTTCCAGCAACCCCAAGGACACTCCAGACCCACAAGACTGAAAAGTTTTTTGATAGTTATTCAATTATAATTTGTGTCTAAATGAGTGGGAGACAACAGTCCCCATAAGACACAACTACACCCACACCTCCTGCAACTTCACCTACTGAGCGACAGCCACTTCCTCCCTCTCCACCAATGGGCCAACGATGAAAAAACACCAAGAAGAGCCTGAATCACCCTTGGCTGCTCTTCACAAACAGTTAACAGAGATATAAATACAACAATGCCATGATGCGTCAGAGACAACAGACCATCAGAGCCCACACAAAGAAACAGGATAAAGTGGTAGAACAAGGGAACAGGATACAGACCCAGAATACATCCCTGAGGAAGAAGCAGCATTGGAACTCTATGATAAGGAATGCAAAAGAATTATCTTTAGGTGTTTTCAAAGGATTGAGAGAGAGACCAAAGAAAACAGAAAAAATATTACAAGAATTTTGGAAGAAAATACAAGAACAAAATGACAAAATAAATGAAAAATTACAAATGATTCTAAATCTACAGATAGAAATCCAGAAGATTAATACTAAATTGTCAGAAATAGATAACACATTGGAAGGGCAAAGGAG